ATATATATATATTTTGTTTTTGCTGGAGTGGGGCTGTCAGTGTGTTAGCTGCAGTGCAGTGCGTTTTTGACGCGTTTTGCGTTTCCGGAACGTTTCCTGACCGTACAAAATGTGACATGCAGTATTTTTCTGTCGTAACCTGAACGGACTGCGCATGTGAGAACTGTAGCCCATAAAACACATAGGGATACATTGGGATGCATTTTTAGTGCAGGAGTGTACGGATCAGGTCAGCACAGAAAACGGACGCCGTGTGAACAGGCCCTTAGACATATCTTTACTTTTTATATGAGAAATCACCTAGATCCTTCAGTCATCATAATCGGTATCTTGAATGTTATTATGGCAACACTAGGCATTAAACACTTCTTGATTGGGAGTATTTTGAGGCTTTACAGCCAGAGTGAATTTAGTTCTTAATTTTTTTTCTCAGCTCTATAAAGTGCTCAAGTATTAGGCAAATAAAAATGACTATGCCTGTCGACAGTGAGGGGCAGACAGATTTTTTCTAGGACAGAGCAGTGTTAAGGCATCACTGCTTTGTGAAAAGATCACTGTCAAATGACTGTCTATGTTTTCAGTTCACAGTCCTTTCATTATGGCTCCTTCTGTTAGAGCCCATTCACACCAGGACGGTTGCGGATGAGTGGGGTTACCGCACTGATCTTGCAAGGGAGGTTTTGGGAGTTTTTAATTGCGTTTCAGCGCGGTTCCATTGAAACCGGTATGGAAACCGCACTGATCAGCACGGCAAAAATAATGCAGGTAGCAGTTCGGACAGGGGGCGGTTCATGCAGTCAGCAGATCTGTGCGGCCGAACTGCCTTGGTGTGAACGGGGTCTTTGTTAACCTCTTGCCGTCCGCCCGTAGTAAAAAAACGGACGGACGGCACTGCAGCATCTGCGGGTTACCGTCTCCAGACGGCAATTTTTTTCTGCTCGTGCGCGCCCCCTAGCGGGCACGCACGGGCAGAAAAGACCCGCTAAATGCACACACCCGTTACCGGGTGTTTCACATATAGGCGATCCGCGGGTCCATAGCCCGCCGATCGCCTATATGTGCTCGTTCGAAAGCTCTATCTGTCCCCAAAAAAGGGTATAAAATTCATTTCAGTACAGCGCTGCATGACGGAATAAATGTCAGTCAAAGTACCGCAGCGCTGAATACTGAAAAATGGCCTGGATGGGAAGGGGGTTTAACACCGCGGATGTCAACTGGTTAATGTCTAGCCACAATTGCACATTGCATGTGAACTTGCACATTTGTTTGGAATCAGAAACTATTACTGATGATTTCTAGCCTTGCAGACCTACAAATAAACAAATATTGTGGGGAAGAAAGCTATCATTTGTATTACAGAAAGGCTGCAAGAGCCCTGCTTAAAGAGACCCTGTCTCCAACTTAAAAAATGCTGGTAAAAGCACAGAAAAATCAAGTATTTTAAATGCTTTCTTGACGCATTTTCTTTCGTTAAACAATGCTGTGTGCTTTGGAACTTGCTTGCAAATATGGCGAATTAAAATTCCCTAGCCCAGCCCTTCTCCATTTTTGCATGTCATTGCCCTCTCTTCTGAGAGGAGGGCAGTGCCTAATTGCCCTCTGTGTTGGCCCAGCGCTTCTGCTCCTCACCTTACTACATAACCTATTATGTAGACACTAGTGGAGGAGTGAAGGGGCATAATATAGGGTGTCATTTGCATGACAAATCTGAGCTTGCTGGGGCTGGTGACATCACATGGACTTTGGCAGTGTATCTAGGCATTTACAGCTAAACGACAAGTCTAGAATACACATACTGGGGGGATTTCATAAAAACTGGAGCAGACTGAATCTGGAGCAGTTGCCCATGGCAACCTGTCAGCTTCTCTCGTTCATTTTCATAAATGAAGAGAGTTACTGATTGGTTTCTAAAATAAAACTGTCTGCTCCAGTTTTCATGAATTCCTCCCATAGTCTTATCAGAAGATTGTTGTAGAAATGAATGATCAGGCAACAAGAGCACTTTAGTTCTAGAACACAATGAGGGGAATTTATCAAATCTGGAGCATCCAATCATCATCTCTCTTCAGTTTGTTTGGTTAAGATTTGAAAATGAAAGAGAGAAGCTGATTGGTTGCCATGCACAGCTGCTCCAGATTTTGTCTGCTCCAGTTTTGATAAATTCCCCTCAATATTTTGTCTTTGCTTTCCACTTTTCATCTCTGGTTTCTCACATGGCATGAACCCTAAAGCCTTAATTGTTAAAATAAAAAAAAAGTAATTCAAGGCAATAAGTAAAAGCAATCACTAAGCAACTGATGCTGTTGAACAAATACTGTAGCTCTGCTACAATCAAAGAAATCCTGTTAAATCTGAGTTCCCTGCAGCCAGATACCAGAGAGCACTTCACAAGGTCCCAGAGATATGTACTTCCTGAAGCCTTTCGCTGTGTACTTGCCTCACTGCTGGCTTTCTGTATTACTAACCACGTTCAAACTGCCAATGCAGTTTTGGACACGATTGGCAACTGTGACAAACTTGTTAGTGCTGATATATTTTTTCATCTGGTTTTTTGAACATGTCCTTAATAAGATATACTAATGAGCTAGATAGATTTTGAAGGTAAAGCTGTTTGGTATCAGGAGGCCATGCAGTAACGATCATAGGAGCCCTACTGTTTAGGTAAGTATATCCTATTGTGGAAATGCTCACTATGGGATTGATAGGAGCCTGAAAGGTGCACTTATCCTAATGTCACAGTCATAATGTTGAACATGCTCTTGATGAATATCTTTCATTCTTTTAAGACTTTTTTGATAGCATAGCGCACATAGTAAATATGTGGAGTGTAGCTGAGGAATAGGTCAGAAAACAGATTTTACTATTTTAGGTGGGCTGCTAGAAAAAATAATTAATAATTTGCTGCTATAGGTTACAACATGCTGTTGTCCTTTGTACTGTGTTGGTAAAAACACTTGCAGGATTGAAAGGTATTCTCTGCTGCATTAGTAGGTTTTTGCACCAATGGTGTCTTAGTTTAATTTTATTCACTATACTAAGAGCTGACGGGTTATATAAACTTCAGTGATTATAGAATACCAAACAAGATTTCTGCAAGCTTCTGCTGCTGCTGAACATTTCTTGCGGCAGAGCTCAACCTGAGTAATCAAGCCCTCCTCATTTTTTTTGACATCACATACAGAGTTCACAGGCCAGTCATCCAGAAGCAAGCAGTGGAAAATGGAAGATCCAGGGGCTTCTGACTGTGACTGGCTGAAGATCAAAATGGAAGGTGAGAGCTGAGAAGATTACATTTACTTTATTGTGTATTAAGGGTTTGTTACAAAGTGCAATACAAATTATGTCAACTGCACGTGAAAACGTACAACTGAATGGATAAAAGGATTAAAGAGACTTGGTAAAGCAGAGCAAACTACAACAACAAAGGGAAAAGTTCAGTAATCTACAGCAACCAATCAGATATTTGTTTAATACAGTCAGATCAGTTGAGGGATTTTTTCATTGGTTGTTGTAGGTCACTGCAATTTACACAGTCCCAGCGCTTGCATGTCCTTAAGCTAAAGGCAGATATAAAACAAAAGTGTCCTAGCTATGTATAAATTAAAAGATCATCAGCAAGTGTATTTTTCCTTACACCTAGTATAAGTAGCTGAATCTTGGTAACGCCCCCCTGTAATCTGCTGCACAGGAGCATTCATAGTGGAAGATTGAGTGTCAGCTTTCTGAGCCAGTCAAGGCTCTCTTAAATCTCAATAAACATCCTTAGAGTAGGGATAAAAACAGTTCCTGTCAACTGCAGCATAGTCTTCAGAGAGTTCTAGAAACTGTTACATTAAAAATAGCAGAGTCACAAAACCAGTTGAACAGAATTACAAGCTTTTTGGAAGGTGAAATTGTTCACATATTTTACTGTTTTTTTTTTTCCAAATGTCATAATTTTTTAAGTATACGATATAGCACAACAACAAAATACAGAAAAGTATATGCGTTGTAGTAATTAGTGGTAAAACATGCAGTTTACCGCACATTACCATAATATGCAGTCCTTTGTGTGTTCCTGTGCCATTTATGTTGAATTTTGAATTGCACCCCAACACACCATTCTAGCAAACCTCAACACACATGCTTGTAAGTGCACCACAATGCAGAGATGTGAACTATCTGTTTGTTGTGTTAAAAATGTGTTTTGCAGTGTATTGACAGCTTAATCGGAATGAATGGGCTCCATTAATCCACATGCAAAATTCCGCACATTGATATGCACGCTGTTACAAACCACAACACACCAGACAGATGTGAAGAAGGCCAAAAAAGTTAACTTTACTGGTTTCATGCATGTTTATTTCATCACAGTGGTTTAGGCAACCATTAAAATTACCCATATGATTACAGTGAAATATAGGGGTTAATTTACTAAATGCAAATATGCTGTTTACTTTGCAAGAGAATTTCCCCTTACCTTAGTAAATGTTGTAAAAAATTTACTTTGCAAAGAATACCCAATCACGTTTAACCACTTGCCATCCGCCCGTTGTAAAGAAAAAACAGACGGACGGTAAGCTCCCATTGGCGGGTCGGCGTAATTAAACGTTTATTCTTCAAACAGTTACATTACTGGCTGTTACACATACAAACTATCATCGGCTCTATAGTCGTCCGATCGCTCATATGTGCTGCCTGCGCGCCACCCCCCCTCCCGCAGTGCACCCCCCCTTCTACACCCTCACCTTCAATCCCGGGGTCCACTGTCCCATCTGCGGCCTGTGACCGGCTCGGGTGGTGTTAGAAGGAAGATGGGAGGGAGAGCAGCATCTTCCTCCTTGCTGAATCCCTCCGACGTCTAAATGCGGAAGTGATGTGTATTACATGTTTGGTGTCTATGTACCCGACATGACCCCGTGTTTTTTATTTTACCAAAAAATTGGATAATAGTAAATGTTTCATAATTTAATATAGGGGAAACAGTTTTTTTTTTCAAAATTTACGGTAATTTTTCTTTAATATAGTAAAAAATAAAAACCCCAGTGATGATTAAATACCACAAAAAGAAAGCTCTATCTGTCCCCAAAAAATGGTATAAAATTAATTTCAGTACAGCGCTGCATGATGGAATAAATGTCAGTCAAAGTACCGCAGCGCTGAATACTGAAAAATGGCCTGAACTGGAAGGGGGTTTAGCACCCCGGTCAGCAAGTAGTTTAGGGAAATTTAAAAAAACTGTATTTTTGCTTGCACATGATTGGACGATGGCAGTCAGCAAAGCTTCATCTCATACATCTCAAACTAAGGGAACATTCTCCTTCAAAGTTATCATTCTATTTGTCTTTAGTAAATCCACCCCATATAAATGTATATTTGCCTTACATACAATTCTGTACTCACTTTTAAATTGAAATTAGCTGTTTTTTTCTATATTTTTTAGCCAGATAACAAAATTGGACAAGGTCTCGTACATGAATGTTGCACTTTAATGTATACTGCTTTGAATTGGTAGCAAGTACAGCACTACTTGTTTTTCTGTAGGAGTTAATTGCTACATCTTCCCCTTGAGTAAAATTCAGTCTTTTATATATTCTTGCTTTTGTGAACTTCTGTGAACAGCAAAAAGGAACTATTGTGTCTTGTGAACGTATTCTGTTACTGACAGTCTTGTGACAGCCAGGACAGGCACAATATGGCATTCAGAAGAGATGTATATAGGCCATTAGTACACTTGTCCATTCCAGCAGACAATAATGGCTGGATGTTTTAACAACAGCAGACCACATACCAAGGGAAGTTTGACAGCACTTAATGCAAATATTTGGTTAAACTTTCACTGTTCACTCCATAGGCTTTTTTTATTCAGTTCACTGGTGGCTGAAGAACACTTTTTGTTCACACTCTCATAATAAAAACATTGACACCTGTATTTAGCAGACACAATAACTGATTTATGAAAACTGGAGAAAGCTGAGGCTGGTCCTATAATAGCTAATCAGCTTCATAGGGGCTGCAATACTGCAATAAGCAGGAATATGGAATTACATTAAAGAGTAAACGTTTTAGCTTATTTAATAAGACAAAGCTGTGTTCACTTCAAACAATTATGTTCAAGCAAAATCTTGTTTTTTTTCTCTTGTACATGATTTGGTAAGTGACCACAGCTGCATTTATTCTACTTATGAACCCTATTATGTATATGAACATTCACTTTCTATAGTCCTATTGGTCCTGTAATTGATCTCAAATTATTCATTTTTGCAATGCGACTTGGATGATAAAAGCAAAAATTATTGTTCCTGTTACAATCCTAGTACACTACGTTTTTTTTTAAAATTATACCGTTTTTATAAATCAGCCATCACAGTTATTAGTATTGTAATAGTGAGACATAAATAGTATATGTCTACAACTCCCTTTAGCAAAAACATTTTCTTTAAGTTTGGATATAGTGGAAAAGGTGTAGAACCTCTGTCACATTTTTATTGCTGTCCACTTGGGCAAATTTCCTCTCATTTCTTGTGTCACTGTTTCCTGAATAAAGACACTTGCTTTAGTGATTGCTTGTTCCACTCAAACTCTAATGGCTTCTCCATAGGGATATATGCACAGATGCACCATATGTGGAGATCCACGATAAACAAATGATGCCACAAAGTCAGCTTAAACCATGTAGAGTAATATTACATCACTGGTACTTAAAATGTAGTTCCACTTTAGTAGTCAAATTTGAGAAAGCCCCACTATATGTTTATCCTTTTTCCTTTCACATCATATCTACAGATATTTTTTAAAAATATATTTCTTTCCTTTTAGCTGTTTCTTTTGTGAAGGGCTTTGTGCAGATTCCAGGCTACTCTGAGCAGTCTGAAAGTGAAAATAAAAGACAAGTCCCATGTAAATGAATAGGCGTCATTAGATGATGACAGCTATTCGTTAAAATTTCGGCCCCATCACCACAAGTTCTGCAGGTCTTTCCTTCCTGCTGGGAGCTGACTACATGCTTTAATCTGTGTCCCCTCTGTTCCCCTCTACTCTCCCCCATCTGTATCGGCAGAGGCAGCGGGAATTGGAGGGGACACAAACCGCTGCAGCCAGCCGGAGGAAGGGGGGCAGTGGAGAGAGCTATCACTGTCAGGATGCTGAGCAGGGAGGAGAGAGCAGCTGACAGAATGGAGAGCAGAGCTGTGCAGGGCCAAGCCGTTCAATATTTGCTGATCCTTCCATGTGCAGAACAAACACCAAGTGATCAGTACTGATCACTCTGTGTTTGTAAATAACTGAGGACTTTGTATGAGATTACTATGTCCCCAGTTATGAATGAACAGGAAGTGATGTATAGCATTCCTGATTGGGGACATGGTAATCACTTACTGTGTGGTCAGTTTATGAATGGACTCAGTACAGAGGCTTTCTGTCCATTCATAACTGGGGAGAGCACTATGCCTTCTCAGCTTATGAATGAACAGGAAGCCCCTGCACTAAGTGCTTCCTGTTTATTCAGTGTTGGGGCTGTAGAAAAAGATATTGTGTCCTCAATCTATTTTTCTATTTCGAAAGGGAAATGTGAGGGATCCCTAATATTTCCCCGAAGTCCTCCAACGGAATAAAAAAATAGTTTAAAAAAATCACAACCGCCCCCGCCCCCCTCCACCCACACAACATACACTTGCAACAGTGTGCACCATATTGTGGTGTATGTTATGCACCATTGCTACCACAACATAGCATAAGTTGCTTATTTACAGTTTTGGGTTCCTGTGTTTTTTTACCGTTTCCCAAAAAGGAGACATTTAAAATTTACAGATTTTTGTCATTTATTAATTCAGTACAGTTTTATCTTTTAGCTTTAGTTGGAATCTTGTAAATTATGTTTTTATTTTGTGCACTGACACTGATTTTAGTGTGTTTTTATCAATTTAATTGTGTATTTTTATTGGTTTAATATTGATTTGATAAACATTTGCAGAATTTATTCTTTAAGGGATCCTTTACAAACTCTAAAAGCAGCAGTTGAAAATTGAAAACAAAAGGGTTAAAAATTGCAAAAATGGTTAGGCCAACTGAGGTCAAAAGTGTTAGGCAGGGCTTGGCAGGGAAAGCGTTAAAGTTTAGAGTAAAAAGGAAAGCCTAAACAACAGACATTGTTATATTGTTATAAAATGGGCAAGGGCTTTAAATGCTTGACAGATTTATTGACCTGCACAGGAGAGCAAATTAGCAATAAAATCCTAAAAGAGATTCAAAATCTTTTTCACTCTATTAACAAAAATGATTTTATTGCTGTCCTGTGTCACCATTAGGGGGATTTTCCCTCACTTCCAGTTCTTTATGACATCAGTCGAATAACCGGGACGTGGGAAGATTTTCCTTTACTCTTTGCTTTGTGTTATATCCCTCAAATAGACATGAAGTTAGGAGAAATCTTCCAGAGACATTTGAAGTTGTCAGTAGTTCCAGCTGTTCCATACTCTAAAAAAAAGTTTTGGCTAGAGATGATGTTTTATCCTCTAGTAAATTTCCTCTATACATTTCAAGGCTGCTATGTTCTGGGCCATAAAGGAGCTTCTCTTTTAGTGCAAGGAAAGTAGGTAATTGCATTGATTGGTAATATCTAGTAATACTTCAGTTTTCCATTAGAAAGGAATTCTACATTACAAGCCAGTTTTATGACTTTCTCCTTTTACTAAATCTTAAATCAGCAATGTCTGTTAGTCAAGCAAACAATTTACCTTCTGGACATTTAACTTGTAAGATGACCACATGGCTTACAATCCATTTATAAAGTCTTTTAAGGAATACATGCACAGAAAACTAAAATATATCATTCTAAAACAACTTAAGCAAATGTATGAAGATGTATGAATCAGTGGTTATGTTAGTGGGAATAAAATGTAGTTAGTTGAAAATCGAATGTAAAAATATGTTGCAGTGTCTTCCTAAAATCAGTTTTTTTTCTTACTGCTTGACTCGAAGTTATTTTTATTTTGTACCTGAATTTGGTTGATTGTATTATCAGACTTTTAACATGTGTAGTTAGAGATTGATTAAAATCTCTTTTACTGGGTGATTTGGGGATGACATGTGGACGCTTCTTAGCTGTCCCTACTAAGTTTGATAATTAATTGCAAGTGATATGTCCAGTGTGAACATCGGAGACACTCTGGCCACATGGGACTAAGTTAAAATGAGCACCTGCTTGCATGCTGCAACCTGTCTGTTCCTGCAAATTTTTTTTATAAATAAATAATAATCCTTAATAGTGTATGTTCTATATCAGACAATGGGTTTATTTTAGAAAGCTAACACAACCAGGGTAAGTATCCTTTAAAAAAAAAAGTGACATGTATTTTCAGTTGGGTCCAATGGGTCACGTAACTGAAAAAAGGGTGCCTAAAGCTGGCCATACACTCTACAAATTTTGGCCAGTTCTTGATCAACACAGTAGGGGCCTCCATCCAGCAACCTTCAATCAGAAAAGCAAGTGAGCCGGTTGGAAAATCTTTGGGTGAACAGTGACGTCAGCCAATCAGCTGCCATCATTGTTCAAGTATTCTAACAGTGGCACACCTACCGCTGTCAAAATACAAAGTACATAGTGGGAGATTCGTCCATCCACACTATTTAGCGTAGATGCAGGAATCGGCTATATATTTTTTTGCTCAGCTGGTAGGTTGAACAAAAGAAAAATATATAAGTGTATGGCCAGATTTAGGCTGGTGTTAAAGCTTTGTGACTTGAGCCTTGAGTGTAGAATCTGATTTGAATTCAGGCATTGTATGGTTCTGTGTATGTGTAGTCTCATCAACTTCACACCTTGTTTAAAGAATTGTATATTTCGTTACCTTCAAGTAATACTGACTGTGGGTCTCCATCCCTTTGAATACCTATTTTTCATGAAATGTAGTGTTAGTTGATCTTCTTTTGTTGAGCTCACTGTCATACACTCTGGTTCTGCCATAGCATAAATATAACTTGAATTTCTTTCCCTTTCTTTCAGTCTTTGTGTGTAATAGTTCTGTTTACTTAACATGAAATCTCATATTTTTTTACTTTTATGTAAATTATGAAAGTTTGGGTTATGTTCAATGCAATTTGTGTAATTTGAATGAAAATGGGTGGAGTTCTAGGTATATAAGTATTTTTCCTTTATTTTAAGGATGGCAGGTGTAACTGTTGTGTGTTTGTTTTCTTAAATTTCTTTAACTAAGGATTAGTATGTCTAGCTGAAAAAAAGCAGCAAGTATCTGATTTAGTGCTGCCCTAAGTATCTGAGAAATAATGAATAAATGAATTACTCCAACGATACGCCTGTCTGGTATGAAAGGAATGTGATTTTGGTTTAATAGGCTGAAGACAAGCAAACTATTATTGAAGTCTTCATCTAGAGGCTGGTCATTTGTGCTTGTTCGTCTGCTTGTCACAATGAGGTCTAATAACTGAACTAAGTGGGGCACGTAGCAGTGACTAGGCAAATCGGTTCCTAGGAAGGATCAGAAATGTGTGTTGTTAGTAGCAATGATCTTGGTCTATAGCAAGCTACAAAAAAGCTATATTTTGATAACATAAGCATAAAGTTATTTTGTTGAATACACTCCCCTCACCTGCTTGCATCTTGACACCTTGTTGTATTACTTTAAACAGATATGTCCTCCCCAACTATGAAGAAGCCTGAAAAGCCATTGTTTAGCCCAACATCACCACAGGATTCTTCATCAAGACTGAGCAGTTTTCCCCAGCATCATCATCCGGGGATTCCAGGAGTAGGACATAGTGGTAAGGGCAACAAATGTTGTCATCTAGTCTAGTCTTCCCAAATTCTGCTGTATGTAAACGTAAGGCACTTAAGAGAACAGTTTTGAAGCAGAAGCCATTGTTTGTAATATTGTGAGCAATTTGCTTTTTGTGCAAATAAAGAATATAGTAGTGCAAAACACAATATTTGTGATGGCTAGTAGTAATGTTGTACCTTTTTAAAACAGGCCTATGACATGGATTAATTTATTTATAAGAAACTAAGGGGTCTATTCACGAAGCTGCCGAGGGATCTGGCCGTAGCTTCGGCCGATCCTTCGGCTAGCTTCGGCCCCAGGACCCCTTCGGTTCAGTAGAACCGAGGGGGTGCTGTACGGGCTATTCACAATAGCCCGTACAGCTCCCGATCATGGCCGAGTGGCTCAGCCGAGCCGATCGCATATGCATCGGCTCGGCTGAGCCGTGCTGAAAGCCGAAGC